CAATTCCGGTGTATAATGCGGCTAAAATCATCAAAATACCGAATATCGGGAGGTACCGTTACATGGGGGCTATACGAAGACGTCGACCTACATGGCCCATTTTCAGTTTTATGCTGTAGTATGTATTAAAAACGTCAACTACCAAATTTGAAACAATTCCGGTAAATAATGTCGCTAAAATCATCAAAATACCGCATATCGGGAGGTACCGTTATATGGGGGCTATACGAAGACGTGGACCTACATGGCCCATTTTCAATACCAAAAGTCCTGCAGACAAAGTACACATTTGAGTAAAATTTTATCAGCCTATACTATGGTGGACGGTATAATTAAGTCTGAGAAATGGGGTTGTTATAGGAAGGTGGTTTTGGAAATGCATACAACATTTATATAAAAAGTACTAAATGGTACTAAATTTTGTATAATTCGGATAGTGCTTGAAATCTGAAATTAGACATAAAAGTTGAATTAGGGTTAAGAAGCGTTTTTTTTTAAAATTCGTACAAAAATACGGAAAATACTCGTACTAAATATTACTAAATTTTTATAATTGTGGTAGAAAAAGGGCTAGAAATTTAAAATTTGATATTTGGATCACTTTTTGTGTGATAGGGTAAATACATGGCCGTCGATTTGGAAATCTATATACATATATAAAAGAAAGTTATGTTAGTTACTACGCTTTTAATTAAAAAACGGCCGGCCAGAAAAGGATAAAATCAAAAAATCGCGTAAAAATAAGCCAATATAAATGTGAATAAAAAATATTTTTTGTGATACTTTTTTTTATTTTTTATTTTTTCGTAATTTTTATATCGCATGACATTTTATACCCTCCACCATACTATGGAGGGTATATAAACTTTGTCATTCGGTTTGTAACTCCTCGAAATACTCATGTCAGACCCAACAAAGTATATATATTCTTGATCAGCGTAAAATTATAAGTCGATTTAGCGATGTCCGTCTATCTGTCTATTGTAATCACGAATTGAGATAGAAGGCTACAATTTTGCACACAAGTTTGTTTTGCCAGTAGGCAGGTTAAGTTCGTAAATGGGCCATGTAGGTCCATGTTTTCATATAGCCCCCATATAATGGTACCTCCGAAGATTCGGTATTTTGATGATTTTAGCGACAGCATTGATCGGAATTGTTTCAAATTACGTATTTAGAGTTCGTAATGGGATCTACAGTCTGTGACAGAAAATTGTCTATGCTGGTCCAGGTCTTCGTATAGGACCTATATATCAGCACTTCCCTATATTCGGTATTTTGACGATTTTATGTACAATACTCACCGAAATGGATTGAGTTGTCGTATTTGAAGTTCGTAATGGATGCTACAGCCTGTGACAGAGAATTGTCTATGTAGGTCCAGATCTTCGTATAGGTCCGATATAACGGTACCTCCCTATATACGGTATTTTGATGATTTCAATTACATTATTCACCGTTTATTTCACGTTTCGAATTTGAATGGTAATGGCTTATGACAAATCATGCTTATGTAGGTCCTCGTCGTATAGACCTCATTATAACATATATATTTTTATACTTAAGATTTTTACAGAACTTTTTTGAAAATTTCCAAATTTGTTCCAATTGGTGTAGGGTATTCAAAGTTCAGCCCCACGGAACTTACAGCTTTTTTACTGTTTACATTCTATTTGGGATTAAAAATGCGATTTTACTTTCATTCTTGTGCCAATTTGCCGACCTTATATAGGTGATAATCGAGTCATTTGTGAAGATTTAATAACTCACAAAATAACCCATTGTGACGGTTGTTTGAAATTGTTCGTGTTTGCTGTAATTTGCGCACTCACAGCCAGAAAAACGCAATTTACAGAACCAAAAAAAAAAAAAAAAAAAAAAAAAAACCTGAGCTGCAGCAATGCTTCATAAATGCCGGTTTCTTTGGACTAAACAATCACCATTGCCTGTTTGTCCCGATTATTAACTTTGAAAACTCACACATCTGTGTTCGCACAAATACTCACACACAGTCCAAAATGTATACCCGAAACTTTAAACTCAAAACGAATTTGCGAAAAACCTTGGGGACGGTCAGTGACCACTAGCGACGTAAGTAAAATAACGCAGAGTGCAATCTTCTGTCCTTTGGTTTGCAGTTTTTGTTGCTGCTGCTGTTTTTTTCGGTTGTCTGTCTGTCGGCTATGTGAAATCCACTCCCGATCAGAGTTTTGTAAAATTGTTTTGACTCTTTTGTTTTGTTTTTGCTATTCTCCACAATTTTGGAAATTAACATATCCTCTTTGCTCCGAGTTGAAGCAAAACGCATTATGTGCACATACATACATCTATCTATATATTCATTTTTATGTGTACATACAAACACATGTCTATAGCCCAATTTAAACTTATTCGTATTTTTTTGTTTTTAAAATAAAGTTGGGATTTGTCTGTGTGCTAACTTTGATCAGATAATGTCATTGGTCTAGTAAAAGCATATAAGTCCAACTTTAGAATTCATGGGGGCCACCACATGTTTTCTGTTAAAAAAATGTTGATTTTGAGCTACCCAGCATAAAATTGAAAGATGCATGAGTCGAATGTTCCATTACATAGTATTGTAGACTACTTTTTTTATACCATACTATGGAGGGTATATTAACTTTGTCATTCCGTTTGTAGCTCCTCGAAATACTCATGTCACACCCAACAAAGTATATATATTCTTGATCAGCTTAAAATTCTAAGTCGATTTAGCCATGTCCTTCTGTCTGTCCGTGAGTCTGTTGTAATCACGCTATCTTTCGAATGAATTGTGATAGATGGCTAAAATTTTGCACACATGTTTATTTTTCCAGTAGGCAGGTTAAGTTCGTAAATGGGCCATGTAGGTCCACGTTTTCATATAGCCCCCATATCTCGATAGTTGGTATTTTTTTATTATTCACCGGAATTGTTTCAAATTTAATACATTCGTATTCGGTATTTTGATGATTTTAGCGAGATTATTAACCGGAATTGTTTAAAATTTGGTATTTGTAGTTCGTTATGGATATTACACCCTAAGACAGAAAATTGTCTGTACAAGTCCACGTCTTCTTATAGCCCCATATAACGATACTGCCCTATATTCGGTATTTTGATGATTTTAGCGACATTATTCACCGGAATTGTTTTAAATTTGGTATTTGAAGTTTGAAATGGATACTACACCTTAAGACAGAAAATCGTTTGTGCAGGTCCACGTCTTCGTATAACCCCCATATAACGGTACCTCCCAATATTCGGTATTTTGATTATTTTACCGTCATTATTCACCAGAATTGTTTCAAATGAAGTATTTAGAGTTCGTTATGGGAACTACAGTTTGTGAAAAAAATTGTCTATGCAGGTCCAGGTCTTCGTATTTTGACGATTTTAGGTACAATACCCACCGAAATTGTTTAAGTTGTGGTGTTTGAAGTTCGTAATGGGTGCTACAGCCTGTGACAGAAAATTGTCTATGCAGGTCCATGTATTCGCACAGCTCCTGTTCTTTGGCAAGTGAACACGATCATTTTCTTTGTTTACAAACCAAATTCGGCAATTCACCATTCGGCCAAGCGGAGCAACTCTTTAGCTCTTTTGAGTCTATTTTATTTCTGTTGCGGTGTAAGTTCGTGCAATTTTTGGAATTTCAATGGCTTTATCCCGAGCTCGTTTTCGGCCACTGCGTCGCGGGTTTCGATCAAGTCGCTTGTTTATTTTTCGAACTATTTCTGCTGATGTTGCTGTGTTTTTTTGTCCACGTCCTTGACGTCGGGCTACGCTACCAGTATCACGGTACCGAGCGATGGTACGAGACAAAAAACATTTATTCACATTTAAATGCTGGAGTGATCTAACGATAGCCACTTTTGGTTTTCCAGCCAAATATAAAGAAATCACACTATTACACTTGGATTCCATCACGAATAACTTTTTTTCTGGGCGAATGGTTTAGAAATGACAGCAGTCTGAAGTGGGTTGCATTTTTTTCATCTCATCCTGTATATGATCCAGTAATAAATGCGAGTACATGGGCAGACAGACAGATGGACGGACGGACATGCCTAAAACGTGACCTATACAGACAGTCTTCAGGCACAGGAGGACTTTTACCCCGATCCAGAATATATATACTTTGTTGGGTATTTCCATGGTAGACTTAAGAAATTATAGGGCTGGGTTTTTTGGAATCTCGCACTTTAAGGTTACGAAAAGTTGTTAAATAGTAATAAATGTCTAAAGTGGTATCATATGGTATTGTGTATACGGATAGAGCTAAAAACTTGAAATTTAGCATGGGCATCAAGCTTGGAAAGTAAATTTGATATATGAAAGTGGTTTTGGAAATGTATACTAAGTGTGCGAACTGTTCTAAATGGTACTAAATTGGGAAGAGTTTAGTTTAGTGTGAACAGATAAAGCTGAAATTTTGAAAATTTATATGAGGATTCCTGTTGGTAGAAGTTTTGTGATAAGAATGGTTTTGGCAATGTGTGCTATAAGTGCACGAAAAGATCTAAATAGTAATATTTTTGGTACAATTTGATATTGGGTGAAAGTTTTGATATTCCCTGTGTAGCCTGGACATGTGGAGGTGGTTTTGAATATGAGTACTGTAATTGTTGAAATGTACTTAATAGTACCAACTTTGGTATTGGGTGAAAGAATAGAGGTAAAATTCCGAAAGTCGATGTAGATGTCATTGTTGGCCCCTGTGGTTAAGATATGAAGGTGGTATTGTAAATGTGTTCTATAATTGTACGATAAATACTAAATTTGGTATTTAATGAAGGAATAGAGCTAAAATCCTGAAATTTGGTGTAGATGGCACTGAAATTTGGTGTAGATGGCCAAATGTTGACGACCCCCGCAAACGTATAAAGGACCACGATCTGCGAATCTGCGCGCACGTTGAACAGAACAGGCGCAGTATTCGCTTTGGCGGATGTGCTTAAGAAGTACAAAGCCGATATTATTGCCTTACAGGAAATGCGATGGATTCGGACCACTACCTTGTGGCAGCCAAGGTTCGCACTTGTCTTAGTGTAGCAGCAAAGGTGCAATCTAACACAACACGGAAACTCGACGTCGAAAAGCTGCAATCACAAAAGATAGCAGAAGCCTACTCCGCCCAACTTACCCACCTGCTTGACGAAAGCACTCCTTGTCCTGATAATATAGAGGCACAATGGCAAAGAATTGCCCACTCCCTACAAACTGCAGCAAAAGCAACACTTGGGTACCAAAGACCACCAGCAAGAAACCCATGGTACGATCAGGAGTTTCGTAATGCTACTGAGGTGAAAAACACAGCGTATAGGGCAACCCTGCAGACCGTAGCAACACGTAATGCAAGAGAGAATTATCGGGAGAAAAGGAGAGAGGAGAAACGTATTTTCAGAAAAAAGAAGAAAGAACAAGAAAAACGTGAGCGCGAGCAAATCGAGATGTACAGGAGTAAGAATGAAGTCCGGAAATTTTACCAACGAGTAAAACACCAAACCGAAGGCTTTGGTGCAGGCACATCCTCCTATAGAGATGAAGAAGGAAATCTGGTGACAGAAACATATAGCGTGCTGAGGATCTGGAAGGAGCATTTTGCAAAGCTTCTGGTATCAAATAATGGCGGTGAGGAAGATACCCCAGAACCAATAAGTGATGACGGTATAGAGTGTATACCACCTAGCCAAGATGAGGTCAGAATAGCAATCAATCGGCTGAAGAATAACAAAGCAGCAGGTGCCGATGGTTTGCCAGCCGAACTATTCAAGACCGTTGGTCAAAAGCTGATTAGGAGCATGCATCAGCTGATTAGAAAAATGTGGCTAGAGGAATGTATGCCCAACGATTGGAACCTCAGCATCCTGTGTCCCGTTCACAAAAAAGGAGACAAGACGATATGCGGCAACTATAGAGGAATCAGTCTCCGTCCCATCGCGTATAACGTGCTTTCCAGCGTGTTGTGTGAACGACTGAAGCCAATGGTCAATGACATTATTGGACCATACCAATGCGTCTTCAGACCTGGCAAATCCACCATAGACCAGATTTTCACTCTGCGCCAAATCCTGGAAAAGACCCAAGAAAAACATATCGACACATTCCACCTCTTCGTCGACTATAAAGCCGCATTTGACTGCCCTACCCGCTCAGAGCTGTTTAAAGCCATGTCTGCGTTCGGCATTCCTGCAAAATTAATAAGGCTATGCAGGATAACTTTAACTGGCACAAGGTCAGCAGTTAGAGTCGGAAAGGACCTCTCCGAGCCCTTGAATACCGAACGAGGGTTCAGACAAGGTGACAGCCTCTCGTGTGACCTATTTAACATCCTGCTGGAAAAGGTCATATGAGATGCAAAGGTGAACAGAAATGGCACTCTGTACATCAAACAACACATGTTGCTCGCCTACGCCGACGACATCGACATAATGGGTCGAACATTGAGAGCGGTAACATCCACCTTTGAACAAATTGAGAAGGAGTCTGCCAAAGTGGGTCTGGCAGTAAATGGCGAGAAGACCAAGCTGATGGTATCAACGCGAAAGATGTCCAGTAGACTCTGACCAACTGTGGAACTTGAAAACTACAGCTTTGAGGTAGTCAGTGACTTTATCTACCTCGGTACCGCCATCAAAACAAAACAAATGACATCAGATTTGAGATTCGGAGAAGGATAGTGTTGGCCAATAGATGCTACTATGGTCTCGCCAGACCAAACTCACACTCTACAAGACACTGATACTACCCGTGCTGTTGTATGGATCTGAAGCATGGGTACTTGCGCAAGCAGATGAGGCAGCGCTTGAAGTGTTTGAGAGAAAAATTCTCTGAAAGATCTACGGGCCGATCTGCATCGACGGCGAATATCGACGTCGAATGAACATCGAGCTATACCATCTATACTCGGACATCGACATAGTCAGACGTATCGAGCTGCAGCGACTACGGTGACTAGGTCATATAGTGCGAATGGATGAGGATGCCCCAGCTCATAAGGTATATAAGAGCGAGCCTACTGATGGTTCACGCAGAAAGGGAAGGCCAAGAATTAGATGAGAAAGACCAAGTAGAAGACAACATATCGGAACATGGTCTTTCAAATTGGAAAAACTGCGCACAAGACCGACGAGCCAAAAGGACTAAATATGCCGAAGCATTTGTATCTTTTAAACTCGGACTTTTATTGCCCATTTGGTGCACAATTAATTTGAAATCGGATAAAGATATATATGGGAGCTATATCCAAATCGGAACCGATCTAGATAAAATTTGGCAAAGATATTTCTGAGCTGTATTTGATATATTTCCCTGAATATCGTTGTTACGGAGTGCATATTACGGCTGTGTGTAACAAATATAACAAATCGGATGAACAGTATATATGGGAGCTATAGCTATATCTGAACCGATCTTCACCAAATTTGACATACTAGCTTCTAGACTCAATTCGGTCGTAAGTGCCAAATTTGGTGCACAATAAAAGGTAAATCGGACGAAGTTATATATGGGAGCTATATCCAAATCTGAACCGATGTCGATAAAATTTAGCAGGTGTATTTTTTGAGCTGTATTTGATAAATTTCCCCAAATATTGTTGTTACAGAGTGCATATTACGGCATCGGAGGACAAAAATAACACATCGGATGAACAATATATATGTGAGCTATAGCTATATCTGAACCGATTTCGATCAAATTTGGCATACTTATTTTCAGGCCTAGTTTGGTTGTATTTGCAAAATTCTATACTATTCGGGCTTATATTACACGTTTGGTGCACAATAAAAAGCAAATCGGACGAAGATGTATATGGGAGCTATATCTAAATTTTTACCGATTATCTCCAATTTCAATACGGTTCGTCCTTGAGCCAAACAAATGATTTTTTCCAAATTTCATCTCGATAGGGCAATAAATGCGAACTGTGCTTTGTTTACAAAAATACATGGACGGACGGACGGACATGCATAAATCGACTCAGAATGTGATTCTATGCAGATCATCAAAAGGAACTATGGGTCTATCTCGTTTCCTCCTGCCTGTTACAAACAAATGCACAAAGACATAATACCCTGACCACCTTGTGGTGTAGGGTATAAAAATGCAGGTAAAATACGCAGTATAAAATACGTATATGCATTGATTTAATTTGACGTATAAATCCAGAAAACTGTAAATATGCTATAATAATTCAAATTCATAGGAAATTACATTACTCACTAGATATTAACAGAAGACTTTTACTTTGTAGAACTTTTAAGTGAGAACTAAGTGAGAAACGTATAAAATATTAAATATTTTATACGTAGGTGCCTTATATTGGCCATTTGGGGTGAAATATGCATTATTGTAATTCCTTAAATGAAAATTACATTTTATTTAATTTACTGGGTTTTTGCGTTCTTTTTTTTGGGCCAGGTTCAAGTACATGTTTCACATGGATGTTCGTAATTACGTCAATTCGTTGTTGTTGTTGTTTCTTTTTTGTTTGATTTTGGTTTCATTGTCTCCGGCTACGATATTTTGACTTGCGGTAGGTTATTTGTCTGCTGGTGGTACCTTGCATGCGATCTTCTCTCTTGTGCACATTTTTTTGGCGAAATGCTCAAAAGTAAACAGGGGAATTGAATTGCTGTCGATGTTGATTCTTTTTCAAAAAAAACTCGTTTAATGAGAATTTATTGATCTTTTACAATTCCCTGGATGTCTCATACCACTGAAATTGCTGGCTGAAGTGATGTTCGTCTTTTTTTTTTGGAAATTACCAGTTCTGCTGAACAGAAACCTCTGGTGAATGTGGTTTGGTTCTTTTTTCGGTTTATTTTTGGACTACCTTCTCTTTTCTCAGCACAAGATTTCAGTTTCATTTTCGGCAGAGTTTGGTGTTTGGTTTTTTTGTTTTTGAATTGTCTGGCAGGCCCGGCGCGTTTTTGTAGTCTGAGTCGCTTTGGTTGTGTTTGTGTTTGTCTGCGTGTTTCGGTCCAAAGGCCCATAAATCTACTCCACTGCCATAATTTTTTCGATGCATTTTCGTTTTTTATTTTAAATTTGTTTATGGGGCTTTACTAGCTCCCCAACCCCCAGCTTCAGACTCTCCTCTACACTTGATTGAATTTCGTATTTTGTCACGCTGGTTGATGGAGTCTGCTTGCAGTTTCGGTTTGTTTATTTTGGCATTTTCCTGCGATTTTTGTCTGCCATCTACTGCTACATTGGAGTTGACGGATGGTATTGCTTAGCTGGCTAGCTGGTCGGCTTGCTCTGCTGTATCCATCTGGCCTGCGTGGATGCATTTTGTGGATTTATGAGTTTTCTGTGATATTTTCATTTTTCAATTCTGCTTTTATTTTTGGCTGTTGATTTTGTATTTGTATTGTTGTTGTTGTTGATATTGAATTTTCGTTGTTCAAGGCCAGTCGTTCATTGAACCAAAATTAGCACAACAGCCAGCCAAATTGTTTTGGCGGATGGACGGGTTTTTTTTTTTTTTTGGTGCTGTAACTGCATTTCATTCAGAAATTTTACAGGGGATCACATTGCAAAAGAGCCTCCTTGTGTGTTGTTCTTTGAAGTTATGGTTTGTTTGTTTTATTGTAATTAATAAATGAAAGGAAAATTCAAACTGTCACGTGCATAATTGTTGATATAAATCAATTTTATGTGCGTACAATAAAATTTATTTCGCGAGGAGATCGGAAGGGTTTTTGGTGAATTAAGTTTAAGGGAAATATAAAAAGATGTAGGCTGCTGTAAAAAATTTATAGGAGACATATTTTTTAAGTACGATATCTATTTCTAGTCTATATATCAACAAGATAAAAAGTATCAGTCGGCATTGCAGACAGATGTATACCCTCAGCCTATATCCTCTATTTATCAAATACTGATAAAACTGTTTGGATGTGCAATATTTAAAGAAAATATATTTTTTCTTTTGTGGGGAAGGTACCAGAAAGAAGTGGACCGTTATATTCCATCTTCACACCTTGTGTTAATAAAAATATTGGGATGATCATCATTTCTCATTTTATGAGAGTTATCTACATATATATAAAAATCAATTGTTGTTTGTTGGTAATGGAATCAGTTGAGAATGGCTGGACCGATTTGCACAATTTTTTGCATAAACGTTCGTCATGCCCCAAGTTAGGTTTTTAAAGAAAAAAAATATAGACCACGCCTATTTTTACGCCCAAAATCTTTATATTTGCCAGATAATGAAGATATCGGTTTAGAAATTATTGCACGAGATACTGTTTACTTTCCCTCCAAACCTAGGGATTTATTTGGTGGCTGAGGAACTGACCACCCATACTTCTAATAAAAATGAAAGATTTCAAAATTTTCATTTTGACTTTTGAAATGTACAATAGTAATGTTTTATTTTGCATGATTTTTTCCATTTTGACTTAAGATTTTCGAATGTACATTTGTAGCGTTTTTTTTCTGTTTGAATTGTAATATGATATGTAGTCTTTTTGGGGAGTATAAAGCGACACCAGAATAGATGATATCAAAATAATTTAACGCGGTCAAACCAAAGTTGAAGGATAACTACTTTTTCAAAAAATCAAAAAAAGAGCCTATCGTAATGCCAAAATTCAAAAATTGGAAAAATAGTGAAAAGTGTTTCAAGAACGTATTGATGGATTTTGACAATTCATACAATTTCGGAAAAATGTAAATTTGGCCGGGTCGATCTTTGAATACAATCCACCATTTGATACAAATTGGGCAATTTTGTCATAAGCTATTAAAATATTCAAATGCGAAACTTGAAAAAATCTGTTTATAATGTAGCTAAAATCATCATAATACCGAATATAATGAGGTACCATGGGGGTTATAAAACGTGGATTGCACAGACAATTTTTTGCCATAGACTGTAGTATCAATTAAGAACTTCAAATACCAAATTATAAAAAATTCTGGTAAATAATGTCCCTAAAATCATCCAAATATCGCATATCGAAAGGTACCGGACGGACATTGCTAAATCGACATAGAATTTTATGCTGATCAAGAATATATATACTTTGTGGGGTCTAAAATGTATATTTCGAGGTGTTACAAACGGAATGACAAACTTAATATACCCTCCATTCTATTGTAGAGGGTATAAAAATGCGTTAAAAAATACCAATAAAAATATGAATGAACAAAATCTTTTTGGCACGACATTTTTTCAATTTAACAACCATATAGAAGTGTAAATTTTTTATTGTTTTGAATTCTGAATTACTAATATCAAAAATGAAATAGTGTGCAATACTATGTTAAATGGCGATCTTTCATGTCTAAAATTGCCATTTAGCTTTCAACTGGAAGATGTGAGTACATTTGAACAAACAAATATGTCCAAGCGTTATGGGGCTCATTTCAAAACTTGGACCTAATCAAAATGCAAAATTCATTGGGACTGCAATCAGTGAAATACCGAATTTAAAGGGCGCAAAATAGAAGTAAGAAAAGAATTCCTATCCATTCATAAATTCTTCCTTAACTTTCAAGGTACCTTAAATCGCTTTTGTAAGTCATGATATGGGTCATAACCCCCGGATAAGGGTACAACCCATATTTCAAGTCTATTTTACTTTTTTACCATATTTTCATACTAATTTCGGCAAATGTTTGTAATTTGGGGAGAAATCATCCTTGCGAAAACTGATCACGTTTTGTATAACCATCATATGATTGAAGCTATTTTTGCGGCCTTGGCCACTTTTTTATTTTTTTTTTTTTTTTTGTTTTGCCCTTATTTGGCATCTTTGTTTCTAAAGGGGTAAATGTTAGTAATTTGGGAAGAAACCATCATTGCAAAAACTGATCACGTTTTGTATAAACATCATAGGATTGAAGTGGCCTTGGCCACTTTTTTTTTTTTTTTTTGACCCTTATTTGGCATCTTTGTTTTTAAGGGGGTAGAAAACCTCTTCGCATACAGTTTTCGGAGTTGGGCCCATCTTGGTTTTGACAAAAATCATCAATTGGTTTGGATAAAATACTGTATTTAGGCTATTCTGGGGTAGAGAACCATCTTACAGATAATTGTCCACGTAGGCATTTATTTAAATATAGTCCCCACTATATGTGTACACCCAATTCCACTTTCCTAACCAATGGTCGGCAAAGAACATTTTGTATCCTATTGAATTTGCAATCCTCGAGAGAATACTGTTTGGGAACTTAGATTTGGGATGTACATACGTCTATATGAAATAAACTCCGAAATGTCAAATTGGGACTTATTCAGTCAGAAATTGTGGTAGAAACATGACAAATATTACAAATATTAAAAAGAAACACGGGACCGAACATTTGTTTAATCGTCATTGAATTATACTATGATGAGAACTATGGACATTATTTGGTCTCCACACAATTTCAATAACAAAAAAATTAATTCCCATCTAACGGTAATGGGTGTAAAATTGTAATTATCTTTGACTGTTCTTAATATGAATATTGAGACATGTCTATTTAGAAATTATTTAGAATCATTAAGTATAATAAAAATTGTGTCACTTACATAAGTCAGTTCTGTGATGTATTATGCTTTAAAATAAGCAGTTAAGACTAAAATTACGGGCCGGCAACGCGGACTGGGCCAGCTAGTAATTATATAAAATTTTGGCTATTTGTGGGGGAGGTACATGATGGTGTGAGCCGATATTATCCATTTTCGCACCTGACTTAGCGCTAATACTAATATTGGGATAACAAGGGTCTGTAACCGTTATTTCAATGAGGCACGTTTATGCCGCATCAAATGATATATAACCTCTGTAGTCATATGAGGCGGAGGCTTTTTCATATTTTACAAAAGCTTGAACAAAATTAAAAATCTTTTAGAGCAAGTCGATTCAGATTAAGAGATTGCTCCATCTGCAACACTTTCCTGAGACTTCCAGTATAAACATAGTGGCTACGGTTCGCAAATTGCGATCAATTTGGGATCACAATAATACTCCAAAAGAATCAACTGTAAAAAGATTAATGAATAAATTTACAGAAACTGTATCTGTTAGTGATGTAAAAAGACAAGAACACGCCTTTGAACAGTTTGATCGACCGAAAATATCGCAGCAGTACGTTATGATGTCCATTCATCTCGATTGGATACAGAGGTCAGGAAATTTCGAATTTCGACGAAAATTTTGCATCTTCATGCATACAAAGTTCAATTGACTCAGGAATAAAAACCAGTTTACCGTGGAAAATGTTCCTTAATTTCCTTCCTTAATTGGTTATTGGCGAGGCAACATGGAAATGCGGATTTTTCTGATGAAATCATATTCAGTGACGAGGCCCATTTCCATCTTGATGGCTTCGTGAATAGGCAGAATTTTCACATTTGGAGTAAGGAAAATCTTCGAGTTATTCACGAGAAGCAAATACATGCTAAACGTGTCTCTGTGTCGTGCAGTTTTTGGGCTGATGGAATCATTAGACCATTCTTATGAAAACGAGGCAGGTCAAACGCAAAAAGTCAGTGGTGTGCTGTGTCGTGAAATTATAACTAGTTTTTTCTTGTCTTTCTTATTTTGCGTTTTGGATACCAGAATTGGACGCCTAGATTTAGATATCGATAAAGTCGATGATTTACGCGAATAAGCTGACGACGACTCAAGCCTTGAAAGAGGAAATTGGACGCCGCATTAATGAAATTTCGCAGCATGAAAATGTCATTAAAAGACAGCAAAGCCGCGGAGGCCATCTGCACGATATGTTTTTATACCATCCACCTTGGAAAGGAGGGTATATTAACCTTGTCATTACATTTGCAACATCCTTTAATATTCGTCATAGACCCCATAAAGTATATATATTCATAATCAGCATAAAATTCTAAGTCGATTTAACGGTGTCCGTCTGTCTGTCTGTCCGTCTGTTGAAATCACGATACAGCCCACATTATTTGACGTAGAGTGCCAAAATTTAGCAGAACAATTTGTAGTGTGTCTAGGATGGTTGATATTGAAAATGAGATATATGGGTCCACGTTTTGGTATAGTACCCATATAACGGTACCTCCCGATATTCGGTATTTTGATTATTTTTGTCACATTTTTTCACAGATTTGTCTAAAAAGTGGTATTTGTTGGTCATAATGGGTTCCAGCTCCGGTGGCGAAACATTGCATGTAAGGGTCCACGATTTGGTATGGCCCCCATATAACGGTACCTCCCGATATTCTATATTTTTATGGTTTTTGCACATTTTTTCATGGATTTGTCTAAAAATTGGTATTTGGTGGTCATAATAGGTCCTAGTTCGTGTGACGAAACATTGTATGTATAGGTCCACATTTTGGTATAGTCCCCATGTAACGGTACCTCCCGATATTCGGTAATTTGATAATTTTTGCCACATTTTTTCACAGATTTGCCTAAAAATTGATATTTGTTGGTCATAATGGATTCCAGCTCCGGTGGCGAAACATTGCATGTAAGGGTTCACGATTTGGTATAGCCCCCATATAACGGTACCTCCCGATATTCGGTAATTTGATAATTTTTGCCACATTTTTTCACGGATTTGTCTGAAAATTGGTATTTGTAGGTCACAATGGGTTCTAGCTCCCGTGGCGAAACATTGCATGTATAGGTCCACGATTTGGTGCAGCCCCCATATAACGGTATCTCCCGATATACGGTAATTTGATAACTTTTTGCCACATTTTTTCACGGATTTGTCTGAAAATTGGTATTTGTAGGTCATAATAGGTTCTAGCTCCTTAAGCGAAACATTGCATGTATAGGTCCACGATTTGGTATAGCCCCCATATAACGGTACCTCCCGATATTCGGCATTTTAATGGTTTTTGCCACATTCATTCGCAGATTTGTCTAGAAATCGGTATTTGTTGGCCTTAATGGGTTCTAGCTCTTTTAGCGAAACACTGTATTGATAGGTCCACGTTTTTGTATAACCCCATATAGCCGTATTTCCCGATATTCGGTATTTTGATGATTTTTGGCACATTTTCCCATGAATATGTCTACAAATTTGAATATGTGGGTCATAATGGGCTCTAATGTTTCCTTTGCCCTAAGATGTTCCATACATAACCTCATTTTGTCTAATATGCGATATAATAACGTTTTACAATATTTTTAATATCTGTATTTTATTTAAAACACGTTAACAAGTATCAGTCAATTTTGCCGAAGATGTATACCATTAGTTAATGTCCGATTATTTAAATATATTTTGAATTCTGTTATGATTATTTGAATTATTGACCCTCTATGGAGTAGTGTTTCAAAGGAATGGATCAATATTGTCCATTTCATATCGGACCTAAATAAATATGATACAAAAATTGCGACGTGCCAGGTTTGCACTATATCGACTAACGAATTGCTAACGAAAATTTTCTAAAAATTCAAATATCGAGATGCGGTAAATTTCGCTCAGTTGTGCTCACATAGCACAATATTTCGTCATTACATAACGAATTTACTCGTTACTCGCTAAAAATTAAAAAAAGTAAAACTTTTGTTATATGAGGCATTTTTTGGAAATCTGCAAGTTGTGCTGAATTGTGCTCACCTAGCACTTGAGGAGAAAGACGTGGCTATATAAGAAGCATATATAGATGCTTCATCCCTTTCTTTGCTCTAATCAAAGCATTTAGAGAAAAAAAAAACACTTTCCTTTGATCAGCATTTTTCCGCTCAAAAACTCATGGAAATAAACGGGTAAGCCAAAAGACAAAGGATTTCTATTTCCTGTTACAAAACCAGGATCTGTGATATCTTGTCCATAAGTTCGTCGTTTGGGTCTGCGTAAAAATAAAAACTCTTCCGCAATTGGCTTTTGAATCCATAATTATTTACAAATAGTTTGTCCTTCTTATTGTTGTTGTTGTAGTATTTTTCCTGTATGAATATTTAAGACTCATCATCTGTCTGCTGGGGTGTTTGGCTGTTTGTTTGTGTGTGTATCCATAAATTTCTTAAAGTCTTTTGAAATATTCCTCCTATTGACAAACATCAATAGAAAAAAAAATATGAGGAGGGAGACCATGAGACAACATTAGCTGCAGAAGAACACTTCGTGTGTTCATCAATGGCGTTGTTTTCATTAAATTTGATAAAGTCTTTGTTGTATAGCAAACAGCCGCTTCGACAATGTGAATAGCAACGATTAAGCCTGGATAGCAGGTTGTCAGGCAGCAGGCTTGCTGGCTGGCTGGCTGACTTGGTACCTATGCCTCAAAAGTTGCATGTTAATCACCTTTAATGCCGAATGAATACCAAATGCAAACGACTGTGACGGCATTGGCAAACAACAACAAAAACATTAACAACAGCAGCAAAATTTTCGTAATCCTTTTTAAGCACTGACTGGACTCAAAAAGAAACCGCCGATTTATGGGTGCTTAGAAAGGAGAAGACGTGATTTAATCACTACAGCAACAGAAATAGCAACTAAACCATAGCCAACCTCCTCCTCCTTCCTTTGCATAGTATGGAGCGGCAATGGCTTGTGGCACAAAGCGTAAGGCCTAATAACTAATGCTTCTAAACAAACAATAGAAATGACATTTCCTTTTGTCAGTGTCAAGTGATGATGTCAAATTATGATTTTTTCGTTTAAGTAAATATTTTTGTAGGTATTATGCAATTTTGCCCTATGACGAATTCACTGGAACGTCATCCAAACTTATGCAATAGTAGACAGGAAAAAGCAAGGATATTTTAGTTAAACGTTTCCATGGAAATATGAAAAAACGTTAAAATTAAATATAAATGGCTTCAAGGAACAGTCCGTCTTTTGGAATGGAAAAGAAGTCCTAAGGAAACGAACAAAAGTTAAAGAATTACAGAAACTAGGCATGTATAAATTGTTTGATAATTAGTCCGAAATGTCCTTTAAACTCGGATAGATTAAATGAAACTTGTCTGGTGCAAGTATTGCCTAGTAAACATTTTCTTTGCCAAAATGTGGTTTATTGAGTACATTTGGATCTGGGGTGTTTGACAGCTCTCCTACCAGGGGCGTTCCCACTGGCGGATAAGGAGAGATTGATGACCAAACCATTTTGCTCGAGCTAATGCGTCATAGTTACGAACTGAATTGAGCGGAATAGTGCGATCACCCGTTTCTGGAGATCTTCGGATTCTCCGCGGGCAAAAAACTGACTATAGGCGTCTTCCCCTAAAACAAAAAAAAAAAAAAAAAAAACCAGTGAAGAAAGTCTTAAAGTCTGTCGGGGACGACTTTATGATACCCTACACCACTTTCTAATTTTGTAGAGTTGCGCATAACAATTAAAAGTTTTTATGGGAGAATTCAATCATACACGCTATCATTTTAATTTAAAGTTCAAAGGACTAAATATGCCGTAGCATTTGTTTTTTTTTATATTCGGACTTGTATTGCCCATTTGGTGCACAATTAATTTGAAATCGGATAAAGATATACATGGGAGCTATATCCAAATCGGAACCGATCTCGATAAAATTTGGCAAAGATATTTCTGAGCTGTATATCATATATTTCCTTGAATATCGTTGTTACGGAGTGCATATTACGGCTTTGGGTAACAAATAAAACAAATCGGATGAACAGTATATATGGGAGCTATAGCTATATCTTCACCAAATTTGACATACTTGCTTCTAGACTCAATTCGGTCGTAAGTGCCAAATTTAATCCAATTTGGGCGAATATTAGAAGTTTGGTGTACAATAAAAGGTAAATCGGACGAAGTTATATATGGGAGCTATATCCGAATCAGAACCGATCTCGATAAAATTTGGCAACCGTATTTCTGAGCTGCATTTGATATATTCCTCCAAATATTGTTGTTCCAGAGTGCATATTACGGCTGCGGAGGACAAAAATAACAAATCGGATGTACAATATATATGGTAGCTATAGCTATATCTGAACCGATTTCGATCAAATTTGGCATACTTATTTTCAGGTCTAATCTGATCGTACGTGCAAAATTCCATACTATTCGGACTGATATTACACGTTTGGTGCACAATAAAAGACAAATCGGACGAAGATATATATGGGAGCTATATCTAAATTTTGACCGATTATCTCCAATTTCAATAGGGTTCGTCCTTGGAAAAATCGATAAAATTTAGCAAATGTATTTCTGAACTGTATTTGATATATTTCCCCAGATATTGTTGTTGCAGAGTGCATATTACGGCTGCGGAGGACAAAAATAACAAATCGGATGTACAATATATATGGGAGCTATAGCTATATCTGAACCGATTTCGATCAAATTTGGCATACTTATTTTCAGTTCTAATTTGGTTGTATGTGCAAAATTCCATACTATTCGGACTGATATTACACGTTTGGTGCACAATAAAAAGCAAATCGGATGAAGATATATATGGGAGCTATATCTAAATTTTGACCGATTATCTCCAATTTCAATAGGGTTCGTCCTTGGGCCAAACAAATGACTTGTGCAAAATTTCATCTGGATAGGGCAATAAATGCGAACTGAACTTTGTTTACAAAAATACATGGACAGACGGACGGACGGACAGAAATCGACTCAGAATGTGATTCTATGCAGATCATCAAAAGGAAGTATGGGTCTATCTCGTTTCCTTTTGCCTTTTACAAACAAATGCACAAAGACGTAATACCCTGACCACCTTGTGGTGTAGGGTATAAAAAGTTAGTTTGTGATCCAGCCACGAGTCACACATCGCCTTTATCTAACGATCGTGAGCAAATTTCTCCCATAGATGTGTGTGCCTTGGCATCTGTGGTCTCCTTTCAACGACAGTTAGTGCCTCAGACTCCCAATGTTACAGCAGCAGCACCGTTTTGCAAATCGCAACAAAGAAGGAGACTCACAAAACGATAGAGGAAGTGAGCGACAGCTTGGCGAAGTTCACAACCAAAACGAAAAAGTTGTCTGGGGCTCAACGGCGAAAGCTAAGGAAGCAAGAGACGAGAAAAAATTAAGAGCGGCAGGATGCTCCAAAGTGGTATACGAGTACTCCTCCCCCTTCATAGGGAAGAAGATCAGGTCCTCTGAGGAACAGAACACTGCGAAGTCCACGAAAAAGAATAAAAGCTTTCCAACTTTAAGTGCTCCGGGCAAACCAAGTCAAAGATCTCATAAAGGAGGCTGTAATAATAATCCGAGGGCGACAAAGTTAGCCCCAAGACTGAGAAGGAATGCACGGCCGTGAAATCGACTGCTATGCCTTGGGTTTCTGACAAGAAATCTCGCCCAAGAGAAGAGAAAGCGGACCGCGGAAACAGATGAGAAGTCGCCATCTTATGCTAAAACAGCCAAGAAACATTATAGGGACGAAGTGCACTATGCATTGACCACTAAAGGTTCAGGCAATTAACCAAAAGACCACCTGAAAACAATAGACGAAATGGTTAAAAATAAAATCTTGGAAGGAGGTGATTCAATTTCCAAGCAACGCAAAACAGCGTACTCTCAATGATCGAGGTCATTCAGATCAACCTTTAACGGAGCGAGACGACAACTATAGTTCTGATGGAACTATTTAATACTGGTAAGATATACATTTGATTAAGTCAGGAAACTTGGACTGTTAAGAACAAGGTCTCTGTAAATGTATGTTTTCTTAAAATCATTTTCATATCTCAACTCCAGATTACCAAATTTAATTACATTTAGTACTTTTTGTACAAATATAGGACGCACATCCAAACCACCGCCAAATCCCGGATACAATCCGTAATCTAAATGTTAAATTTCAGAATATTATCTTTATCCCTTCACCCAACACCAAATATAAGACCATTCAGTATTTTTTGTACAATTGTAGTACACATTTCCGAAACCAGCTACATATGTCCAGGCTGCACATGAACAGCGACGCTAAATCCAAACTTCAGATTTCAAGCACTATGCCCATATTCGACGGACCTATCTGGCAACGCCATAACTTTTGACAGAGATGTCACATCGCTTAATGACATACTGCGTTTGAAGCGTCAGTCCAAGCAGATTTTTACCATGAACCAATACACGCCACGCGAGTGCTCTGAAATAGTTGAAATTTACATTCAACAGAAGAAGTCAATTGTGAAAACTCAACGTTCTTTTAAAACATTAAAAAATGTGAGAAGTGAGCCTTCTAAGAACACCATTAAACGTTTATACGAAAAATTTCGACTGTTAAGGATCCTTCTAATCCGAAGAGGCCATATAAAAGTCGACCAAGGCGATCGACCGAGAATATCGCTGCCGTACGAGCCAGTGTTGAGAGGTCCCCAAGAACATCCCAAAAACGCCGTTCTCAGCAGTTGGGCATGGCGCGGTCCACTTTACAACGGATTATTCGCATTGATTTGCATTTGTTCCCGTACAAAATTCAATTGACGAAAAGAAAGTTGGCTGCGGACAAGCCTCGTCGATTGGAATGGGCCCAAAGAGTCATCGGAATGGCCGAAGATGACGAGCAATTTTGGAACAAAATTATCATGTCGATGAAGCCCATTTCACATTGAATGGGACCGTAAATAAGCAAAATTGCCATTTTTATGCCACTGAAAATCCTCAGGAGATACAAGAAGTGCCTCTTCATGACGAAAAAGTCACAGTTTGGTGCGGCGTTAGTGCGAAAACGGTCATTGGGCCGTTTTTATTCCAAAATGAAAATGGCCATGCTGTTATCAGGAGCGTTATCGCAACATGATGACCAATTTTGTGATGCCAATTATTCGTCGAAAGCGTATGAGGCAGTTCTGGTTTCAACAAGACGGCGCTCCACCGCACACAAGTCGCATAACAATCGATTTTCTGAAGAATTTGTTTCCGGGCCGTTTGATGTCGATTTGTCGCGTTCGCCCGATTTGACGCCACCTGACTTCTTCTTGTGGGGATATTTGAAGTCAAAGGGTTACGTTAACAAGCCAAGAACCGTAGAAGAGCTCAAGGACAACATTCGTGAAGAAATAGTCGCTATTCCGGCCGAAATGTTGGCAAAAACGATGGAAAATGCAGCAAAAAAGGAGAGATATCATATTCAAAAATTGATGTAAACAAATCTACTTGGAACAAATTAAATGATTAACATTGCCAATCGCCAAATTTTTATTTTTTTTTTTTTTTTTTTGATTTCAAAAAAAAAAACATGGTCTGTCGAATATGGGCAACCCTGTATATGTTCATCTAATGTCGGTTCAGTCGGTTTTGTCGACATCATCTCCACAATCCAACCAAAAATGTTTGGGTGTGTGAAATTTGAAGAGAATTGGATGCTTGTTTCGCGTTCTCTTTTTCAAAATTGTGTACCCTTGGTGGGGGGAGGTACCAGAAGGTGTGCGCCGATATATCCATTTTCACAGCAGATATAGAGTTAGTAAAAATAATGGGATGTGTGAAATTTGAAGAGAACCGGATGCTTATTTCAGATTTTATGGTCGTTTTGGTTATTCACAATTTTGACCCTTAGCGAGGGAGGTACCAGAAAGAGTGGAGCGAGATTGCCCATCGTCGAACTCGACCTAAGTTTATTATTAATATTACGATATATCAAGCTTGAACCATATTGGATACTCCCTTCGATAGTTATCGTGCGCACCAGTCAGACAGACAGACGGACGGACATCGCTGGATCGACTCTAAATGCCCTTAAGCGGATTTGGCCCAAAAAGACCTGGGATCTATCACCGTTATTTCGATGGGGCACGTTTTGACCGCATCAAATGATATAAACCCTTCCTAGCCATATGGCAGAGGGTATAAAAAAAAAATAATAAAAAAAAATAAAAACAAGTAAAGAAAGTCTTAAAGCCGGGCGGGCCGACATTATGATACCCTACACCACTTTGCTAATTTAGTAGAGCTCCGCATAAAGTTTCTATGGGAAAATTAAATCATACACGCTATGATTATAATTATAATTTAAAATTCAAAGGACTAAATATGCCATAACATTTGTATCTTTTAAATTCGGACTTGTATTGCCCATTTGGTGCACAATTAATTTGAAATCGAATAAAAATATATATGGGAGCTATATCCAAATCGGAACCGATCTCGATTTAATTTGGTAAAGATATTTCTGAGCTCTATTTGATATATTTCCCTGAATATCGTTATTACGGAGTCATATTACGTCTGTGGGTAACAAATATTACAAAACGGATGAACAATATATATGGGAGCTATAGCTATATCTGAACCGATTTTTGACATACTAGCTTCTAGACTTAATTCGGTCTTAAGTGCCAAATTTCATCCCATTTGGGCAAATATTAGAAGTTTGGTGCACAATAAAAGGTAAATCGGACGAAGTTATACATGCGAGCTATATCCAAATCTGAACCGATCTCGATAAAATTTAGCAAAGTTATTTCTGAGCTGTATTTGATATATTTCCCCAGATATTGTTGTTACAGAGTGCATATTACGGCTGCGGAGGACAAAAATAACAAATCGGATGAACAATATATATGGGAGCTATGGCTATATCTGAACCGATTTTGATCAAATTTGGCATACTTATTTCTTATTATTTTCAGGCCTAATTTGGTTGTATGTGCAAAATTCTATACTATTCGGGCTGATATTACACGTTTGGTGCACAATAAAAGGCAAATCGGACGAAGATATATATGGTAGCTATATCTAAATTTTGACCGATTATCTCCAATTTCAATAGGGTTCGTCCTTGGGCCAAACAAATGATTTGTGAAAAATTTCATCTGGATAGGACAATAAATGCGAACTGTACTTTGTTTACAAAAATACATGGACAGACGGACGGACGGACATGCATAAATCGACTCAGAATGTGATTCTATGCAGATCATCAAAAGGAACTATGGGTCTATGTCGTTTCCTTTTGCCTGTTACAAACAAATGCACAAAGACATGTTGTGTAGGGTATAAAAAAAATCAAAATTCCATGCACATAGACTTAATACCCTGTGCAACAGTATGATGTAGTTTATACAAATATTAATACTGTTCTCTTTTAAGATGCAACTATTTAAATCGGCAGAGACGTGGTTTCTATTTTGCACCATTCCAAATGTGGTTTTCAATTTTATTTGTATATATATTATAAATCATTTAAAATGTCGTTTACAATGTTATTTTTTCGCATCCATTTTCAGACAAATTCCCTTAGCCCTTCCTGTAATTTTGTCCGCAGATTTTAATTTTGTTTCCTTATACGAATGGAACTAATAGAACAATTATTCTTAGGCTTTGCGCATTGTACAATATCCCCTGATCCGCTACCATTGACCACACATTCTTTTATCATTAGCCCGTCGTGGAATCATTTTGTCGCTGGTTCATTGCATGGCAACGAAATATTAAAAAACACAAAATTCCAAAAGTGCAAATTTGTGGCAATGTAAACGATTAATGAATGCTAACAAACAGCGCAATATCGCTGTTGTTGTTGTTTTCTTCTTTTTAGGGCATTTGCTGTATCATTTGATGGTGGTTGTGTTGTCTTTTTTGTTAAGCTTTGTATGGATATCCTGGTAATTTTGTTGTTGTTTATGACATAGAGGACATGCTTTGTTGCTGTTATTTCGAATATTAGAATTTGAACTGCGCTCTGCAGTTGTATTTTTTGTTGCTTTAATTTTTGTTGCTGTTGTTCAATTTGCGGTTTTTGTTAGTGTTGCTGGTACATTCTCTGTTGTTTTTTTATTGGAGGAAAATTAAAAATGAATGCAGAACAGCAATTTTTGTAAATGAATGTTTTAGTTTCACGACACATTTCCCGTTTTAGCCAGTCCTTGCCCGCTCTCTGCCTGCTCTGTTATGGCCAAAGGAAAGAGCAAACATTGAAAGCAAATAGAATTCTATAAGCGTTGAATTAATAATTAATCCATGTTGGTATGAAAATCGGTTGGAGGTCACACAATTCCGTCCATACAATGTGTCTAGCGAATATTGTTGGATTTTTTAGGCCTTATTAATC